CAAATGAAGAAAAGCGTGTAGGATTATTGGTCCTAGTTTTCTTGGCCATACATTTTTGAGGATATACGTTGACCGGTGAACGTTACTTACGTTTTTTAGAGAACGATTTTCAAGACATGTTAGAATCATCACGCAATGTTACAATCATCAATAGAGTGGTTCAAACATGACTTTTATTATGACCCTCTCCCATAATGAAAGAAATGTCAAATATTATTTATATCATAATTATGCAAACTCAGGGATAGGAAGGGGTCGATCACCTGAAATATCCATTTTAGATTTTTTTTATGCGGTATGGTTAAAAACAAGGTTTACAAAAGAACTTATGAATTAAGAGAGGCACTATAACTCAGTAATTTTTCTGAGAAAAAAACATATAGGTTTTTTCAAAATATCTAGTAAGCCATGAACTTTTTCAAAAATCTGAAAGGCGCATATTTATGATCCCACAAAACTGTAATTCTTTCCCCATTTAACCGACTCTCTACCTCCATCAGTAGTTTCCAAGATTGCCATAGAGAACATCGTAGAAAACTCACCTTGTATTAGTGTACTATGTAAGACCATTATTATTGTTTGTTAGTTTTTAATTTTTACTTCAGTTATGTTAAGAACTGTGTAATAGAAACAAAACTTTTATATGTTTATGTTATAAGAAACATATCATAAATAAACATAACAGTATATCCCGGATTGTCATTACAAGAGGAAAAACTTTTTTATTATTAATATTCTCAGAAAAATGCGTTTTTCATAAAAAATTTTGGCTTGTTTTAAAATGGTTAATCCCGTTTATATTGTTCCAAATTTTCATACCGTTGTAGAGAAAATTAAAAAAAAATATGAAAATATAGTTGAATCTGAAAGTCCTAAAAAATAACTTTTTTTGTATTTAGAGCATTTCAAAATTTTTAATGGGTTCGCAGCAGATACTCGCGGTATTATTTCATATGGCTCTTTCAACGGTAAAATATAGAGAAAAATCATTAGGTGGCTTTGATAAAAATTTACTGTGGAAAACGCCATATGAAATATAAAACCGCGAATATCTACAAAACCGAAAAAAATTTCAAATATTCTAAATACAAAAAAGTTCATTTTTTAATTCTCCGTCTATTAAACAAATCATATTCAGGGCTGTTCCATTTAAAAGACGGTGAAAAATTATTTTATATTTTAGAAAGTTTGGCGTAGAATTTTGAACACCCTGTATAATGTAAGATTCTGATATTTATTTATGAATTTATTGAACAATACAAATAGTAGACCCTATTTGAATAAAGTACAAATAGTAGTAAAGAGAGAATTCTTGTATTTTTTATAATTTTTATAGAAGAAAGACTGAAAAATATAATTTATTTATTTATTTATTAATATCATTGAATCCTATTGAAATATATTTACACATATCTTAGGATTATGTAAAGCGATCAGAAAATAAGCCAAAAATGCTATACAGGGTGTTTTAAAAAAATAATCTCGAACCAGCAGATTAAGCAGATTACACCATTTTCTATGTTATTTCTATGTTAGTTTTTATTAAATTCTGTGATTATTAGTTATGGAATACTATCACCTTCTTACTTGTTATTGCCACTTACGGCGTTGTAAGATTGTACAACAATAAATAAAGAACCCATAATAACGCTTAGAATAATCTCCATAATGGACTAGTTTTTGCCAATATGTAATAAGTAAAATAAGCCATAAAACAAATAAATTAATTAATTACTAAAATATTAGTTATTAAATTAAAAATGAAACGTAAAAATCTTTAAAAAAATCATATAATAAATATATTGTTTGTAACTTTTAAATTAAGATTCATCTCATAAATCCATCACAATCTGGCAGCGCTGTCGCCATCGCTTGTCACTCAAAGTTGATCACGTGCATCGGTAATTGTTTTGCGATTACCATATGTTAATAATAATAATTATGATATTTGAATATATTTTCGCTGCCTCGCGAGCCGCTACTGGCAATTACTACTGCACCGGTTAAAGACCTGTTTGGAAACTCGTTCGCCAGACTGAAAGATAGCAATAAAATATAAAATACACATAATAAAGATAAAAAGCGCATAAACATAAAGATTTGAGCGGTGCAGAGCGATATTTTATTGAAGCTCGTAAAGTATCCGGTTATCTGACATTAGTCGCTCGCGGGCAAATATTCATTCGACTTTGTTTTACCACTGCATTAATTATTTTAGTTTAGTTTTATTTTAGACCATTTTCCATACATTGTTAGGAAACGAGTTACTTTTTACAATATCTCTAAACATTGTTATTAAACTATGTCGTTGTTGCTTCCTGTGATATTGCAAATTGTGTTTAGCCCACTTACTTGCAACTTCTAGTTTCATCCCTGTTCATTTTGAAGATTTTGTTATTTTCTGTTTATTTTGAAGTTAGATATATTGCGCTCAATAGTCGAATTCGAGCAATGCCCGAGAAAAATACGCAAATCTAGTTTTGAGTAGGAATATTTCCCAAACCCGAAAAATTAATTTTATTCGATTATTTTTTTTTTGCTTATAGTGTGATTTGATTGCATTGGTTTCACTCTTTTTGGTTGGATTGGTTTAGTTATTTGACGAGTTGGTTAGCGTGGTTATTTGGAGGGTGTTAATTCATTGGTTAGTTGGTTTTTCGGGTTTGGGAAATATTCCTTGCTCAAAACTAGATTTGCGTATTTTTTTCTGGCATTGCCCGAATTCGACTATTGAGCGTAACAGATACATTATTTTTTTGACACTAAAAACACAAATCTAACTCTCTAGTTTATTATATTTGACTGGTATCATTTTGATGTGATTATGTCGATTATGCCATCGACTTTTCTTCATGATAACTACTATGTGTTTAATATATAATATCATAATAATATATCTAGTTATTCAATAACATATAATTTTGAAGGTAGCTTAGCTGTCCGGCAAAGTTTTGCCGGACAAAGTTTTGCCATTGTTTGTTAGTTAACAAAATATATAAAATATGGGAAAACCCATTGATTTACTAAATTCTTAATTTAATTATTTTTATTGACAATAAAAATGTGTTTGTTGTAAACAGTTGCCCCCAATTCTTTATGCAGATTAAAAAGGAATAATAAATTATAATGATGATTTTGGCAAAGATTTGAATAATTGTGAGCACTAATAATATAATTTATCTATATCTACTAGAATTCTAAATATATTTCAGTCATGCGAAAACATTTTTGATGACAGTTTTCTTTTTCAAAGGAAACGTTTAATTTTTCAGTATGACAATAAACAACATGCAGATGGCTAGAAGAATTTAGTTATGTTACCTATTAATTTTGAACAAAAAAAATCTTACATAAAAAATATAAAATAATATAATTTATTAGTATTCAATACTTTTTATTCGCCATCTTTCCTTCAGACTGAAGAATGACTTTTTATAAGTTTTATATTTTGGTCAATACTGTTTAGATTTATATTCTTCTGATACACGTTATAACCGTTAAAATTTAAATTAAAATACATATATTTGTAAGATAATTATATTTTTTCTATATCTGTTTACTTTAGAAATAGATTAGCTTAAACAATAAAAAGTAACATAATTTGAATCATTATTCCTAATATGCTAAATTTCTTTATCTACGTGTATGTTTTTATCTACGTATATTCATTATTGGTGAAAAAGTTAGAAGTAAAATGTTCATGTTAGATAATCAAAATAAAATCATTCTAACTTTATTCCCGTATGTTAGTAAAAGGTAATTCTCTTTCTTTGCAGACTTATAACTCTAATTGGTATTATAGGTTTATATTTTTTACATTTATCAATTGAAAGTACCTTTATAAATTTCCTTTTTTTCGGTCATATTTCTTCTTTGTTTTTTTTTATTTTTGTAAAAGTGTTTATCTGTAACTATCTAATGTACCTAATATGTATTTATTATCAATCAAAAATGCCTAGAACAGCGACCGATGAAAGCGCGACGCTACGTACTTACCAGTTACAATTACTACTGTTCGTGACCTACGAAAACTCGACCCTACAAGCGCTCCAGCAGTCGTGCGACTACTGGCACTGGAGCGAGATACGTCGCGGTATAGGTCGTTACCAGTTACAGTTCCAGTTCCAGTTACATCTCTTCGCAACAGACGAAGCGGTCGCGATCGCGCGATGCTACGTACCAGTTCCATTTCCAGTTAATACTGTTCGCGACCGACGAAATCGCGATCCTAGAAGAGCGACGGCTGGGGCGAAACACAGCGCTATGCGGTTACTGCGGTTCGAGCTAACATCAAAAGCGATTATAAATAATTTATTTGCAAATTATAAATAATTTATGGTTTTGTCGTTATTAAGATCGTCGTTCTTCAGTAACATGTTCTTGATTCGTTGTGGAGCGCGACACGATCTTACAAAAAATACCGGTCCAAAATCGCGTTACTCAAATACCTAGAAGAGCGACAGGCCTAGTACACATCACTAGTTCCAACTTCTTACAGTGCCATACTCTATACAGAGCGTTGGCTACCTTTCCCATGTACTTGTGATGTGTGTCATTAGTGTTTCACAAGTACACGGGACCTAGGACCCACAGTTTATCGCCGAATCCGAACGGCACTATTTGAGAGGCTGTACAAAGCAAATTTTACTCAAGGTGGTTTGCCATTGCCTTCCTTGAGGTGGCGGCTCGCTGGTCGCTCTATTTAGATAAATCAATATTTTTATTTCAATAAATAAAGCGACCGTACTGGCTTAGTATCGAATCCAGTACTATCCCATCTCTCGCACTTCAGATCGACACGCTTCTCTACTTGCGCTACGGCCGGCCACTATTTCCAACAGTAATTTAGAAATAACAGCCAACAATATCACCCCTCCCCCCTAAATTTTTTATACCATTTTACTCTGTATTTTGCACACCTATCCAATATTTTATTTATTAATATTTGATATACTTAAGGTAATTCTAAAGAAAACTGATGTATTTTGTGTTTGTTGCAGGTGTGACGGGTCCGCATGGCCCGCGGTATCGGCCAGCCGCAGTACTCCCGCGCCCTGCGCTCCCTCCCCGCCCGCCATGGTCAAAACGTTCCAGGCCTACTTGCCACAGTGCCACCGCACGTACTCGTGCATCCACTGCCGAGCCCACCTGGCCAATCACGATGAGCTTATCTCTAAGGTGAGTCTATGGGAACTAGAAGGATTTTGTTTAAGTACGTTCTTCGCTCTTTTGGCGAAGAAGAACGGTTATTAACGTCCAGTCATTATTTTTCAACTGAACTGGGCATTCTTTTTAACTTAGTCATGACTGGAAAAGCGATTTTTGAAGTGAAACTTCTTTCCAAAAAATCCTATATGGGTATTTCGCTACTGCAAGAAAATCTACAAAATAAAATAGTTATTTTTTGTAAACACTTCTGGCGTTAATCCAAACGGAAACTACTTGTCAGAAGTTAGGTTTAGAACCAAACCAAACCCCAAACCAAAAAAATTTGCCTAACGAACAAAAAAATGCTTAACGTTTCGGGAAGTTTATCTCTTTCCGTCGTCGGAAGCAAAAAAAATACAAAGAATAAAGAAAAAAAACTATTTAAAATATTTAATTCAACTATTCGAGAAGACTTTAGTTTAGATAGAACACTTTAGTTAACAGATACGTCTACAAAAACCGTTGACAATCTGTTAAAATGACATCATATCAAGTTAAACTTCAAAATTAACAATTAGTACCTGATAACAATTACTTAAAAAGGTAAAACCAAAAAGCCCCAAACTTTCTGTATGATTATTTTTAATTTTTACGTATGCTATGTTTATTTATGTTATGTTCTTTAAAATCAAAGAAGCGATTGCCATACATTACTAACATCTACAGATGCATGAGCAATACATTTATTTTTATTAGATTGTATTAAAAAAGCCTCTTTTACTTTTCTTTTAGAGGCTATCGCGAGATACGACATTTCGTTTACATGTTAATCAGGGTGGGATGGGCTTCAGGATGACGCGCTCGACGTTTCGAACCTACGGATGCCTCTAATCTAATTATAGGTCGATTGGAACCAAACTAGGCACGTGGATAGAGGTATCCGAATGGAGTACATGTTCTGAGCAGAGAAAAAAAAATAGGGAAAATGTGTAAAAAATATAACTCATTATATTATGAGTAACGGTCTTTGAAAAAAATATATTCAAGAAAATAGTTCAGCAATCAGGTAACAAGACAATTTAGAATAAAAACCTCTCGTGAACTGGGTGGTATCTGCAACGATGTTAATAACTTGTTCCCTTAATTTTCCCCTGTCAGAGAAAGCAATCTGGGACCAGTTCGTTTCTCAAACGATTCATGTGGGACATCTTTTTAATGATCACTAAAACTGCAGTGTTCTATTGCAAACCTTTTTATATTCCTAATTGCCAACTTCTTTTCTAACCGATTTTGCTGGTGGCTTAGATGATGGACGCCTAAACATGAAGATGTAATAGGTTCCCTGAACCTTTACCGGATGCGTCTCAAAAGTGGCTTACACCTATAATTAAAAAAAAACGAGATTTGGTATGTTACTATATAACATAAATTAGGATTGATTGACGTATTCAACTGTTTTTGGTCACTTTTATCAACTTATTCGTAAAAAAATGCTTTTTCCAAATATGCTAATGAACTTTTGTTCCATTTGATTGATTTGGGCATCTTATAACGGGCCCGGACAAGACACGAAAATTATTAGACCCCCAAATCTATTTTCCAAGGCTCCTTGATTAAAAATTAGTGTTTTTATCACATCCATGGCACTCTAGATTGAAATTTAAAATACCATTTTTAAGCTAAAATATCAAAAGTTGACATATGATAAAGTGTGTTATTTTCTATCGAATAAAGTAAAAATATACGGGGGGTGCCATTTAAAAATCAAAAGTTATAGTCATTTCCGGTAAAACAGGAAGTGACCAAAAACAATTGAATACGTTAATCAATTCTAATTTATGTCATACTAACATACCAAATCTCGTTTCTTTATCTAAGAAAATAAAAAAGTTATAGGGGTGAGCCACTTTTGAGACGCACCCTGTATGCTGAGAAATTGGTTTGCCCTATCCAATGGACAGATTTGATTGTGCTAAAATCAGTATTGAAGGTAAACGGTGCAAAGCCCCCAAGTTCGCCATATACACAAAACAAAACTCAATACTTAAAAACTGTTTGGAACCAAAACGAATTCACTTTTTCTTAGTATTTGGGCAGCTAAATACACAAAAAATATATATAGGGAAATTAAAACAACTTTGGGTGCACGTCATCAATGACACCATGAGCGTCTTATGGAGTTTGCTGGTGGTCGTATTATGATGTGCAACCAAAGTTATTTTAATTTCCCTTTACATATTTTTTTCTTATACATATTTTTATGCTGATAATTCTGCATATAATACTATTTCTTCTTCAACATGAAGAGTACATACGGGAAAAACGATGAAAGTCCCATTTTTGTCCCCCGATTTGCATATCTTTCCTCTTAAAAAGCTACACCTTTTGGTATCTAAATAAACGGGAATATCGATAGCGATCGCATAGAAACTCGCATAAAAAAGGCATTTAAAAATGGGGAAAACGATAAAAGTCAGTGCGTAATTTGAATTAAAAAACGCTTTCCTGAACATTTATCGTTTTTGCACACTTTTTCCCGTGTACTCTTTACATCTTATTGAGTAAGTCCTAAAGACTATCGAATTCGACTGTGCGATAAAAGAAACATTCCTACAATTAAAAAAAACATATCTAAGTGATAAAAACATATTGCTACGGTCCGTTCTACACAAATACACTAATTGTAAATAATTGTTACTCAGTTAGTGTGAGGTTCAATCAAGTCCAGAGTATTATCCCAAAAATCGTTGTTAATTATGGCAAACTCGTTGAAAAATATATCTGGCTTATTATCGCCTAAGTTTTTATCACCTCGTCTATCACCAAATTATTTATTGGCCAGTCCTAAAAGTGAAGGAAATAGGTACAAACATAAACTAACAAGGTATGTTGACACTGACAGTAATGATACTACTTTGATTTTTACTCTGATCGTTCCAAATATAACTTATGTATTGAGACCTCCTTAAGATTCATTTTTACTTCTTAAATAAAATCTTTAAAACATTACTTGTAATTACTTGTACACATTTTTGTTTTCTATGTGCAGCAATTTTAGTATTTAATATAAAAATTAAGACATTTTTTAGCCCACATTATTTTTAATGAAATGAATAATACATTTTTAATGAAAATAATGAAACTTAACGCATATTTATTTTGTATTATGAGTGTGTAACATGAAAAAAGAACACTAATTTAATGCTAATAAGGCTAATAAAATCAATATACGCTCACCGGCACGAAAACCGGGCAACTTAAAATTTTCATGTATTTTAAAGTTTTATACAGGGTGTTTCAAAAAACATGTCTCATCTATCATCGTGGGGAGATTCCTCGCGTAAAAATTAGATTCCTCACCTATTAACATGGGTACGGAAATGCATAGCTTTAGAGTTACAGGATGTTAAAACATTTTAAAATTAGGTTTGTTGTAATTATCTTAAATACCATTATTTTTTTATTTTAAATTGCTGTACGTTAGACTAGTAATAATAATAACTAATAGTAATAATAATTAATAGTAAATTAGGTAAAATATATAATTTATTAAGTTGCTTTTATTTTAATTGTATTAATTGTGATTAATAAAATCTCATCAAGGAGGCTGAATTCGACAAAATATCAAGATATAACGTTTAATTGCCATTAAACACCCTACACAGTTTTGATATTAAAAGAAAAAAAGTTAGTAGCGTACATATTTTTTTTTGCAAAATATTCCAGTGATAATCCCATATGTATACACGTCCCTGATGAATTTATCGACACTTTTTAGCATTCATTCAAATCACTAAAAGTACTTGGAAGAAAATTATAATAAATCGAATGATTATTAAGACTTTAACACCCTGTAGCTACGAGACAAAGCAGAATTGAACCTATGTTGATATGAAAAATAAATTTTATTTTTACATGTGGAATCTCCCCACGAGAGATGGCACATGTTTTTGAAACACCCTGTGTATTGTGTTTTAGTGGACCGATTTTGATTATTTATTTAGCAATTTGAAGCTATGTTATTTGACTTTTTAGTATCTCTTTTTAAATTAAAAATGAAACTCTCCATCTGTTAATTATACGAGGGAAAACAAAATGTTGATATTTTCGAGACAGTTTGTAGCACCCTGCGGAGTACGTTAACAAAGCAAGGAACTTAAAAATCACTTTATCATTTAGGTGTGTCTTTCTTTGACTGTTTTTTGATTCATCTCAATAGCTTTATAGCTTTATTTTTTTGGAGATATTCGCTTTAAAAGAAGACTAACATTTTTTCGTATTTTTCGCATTAAAACCATGCCTTTGCTTTTGGTCCTAGTCAACAGACCTAAAAAATAGTGTTTATAATTTATGTAATGTTAATGTCTTAAAAATCATATTATTATTGTCTGTGTTACTGTGTTACTCTAGCTAAATATGTTTTTTACGTACAAAAGTTAATCTCCGCCATGTTGAATTAAAGATACTTCGGAACTTAACACCATCTCTAGATTAAACGTCGATAAACAATAATAATCTGACTTTTCAATGACAGTGACATTACAAAAATAATAAACACTATTTTATAAGTGTGTTGATGAGGACTCAAAATCAATGCTAAAATAGAAGCGAATATCTGCACTAAAAACAAAGCTATTGCGATGAATCAAAAGACAAACTATCGAGAATAGACGTACCCTAGATGATAAAATGATTTTTAAAATGCTTGTCAACATATTCAACAGGTTGATTCAAACTTGCACCAAAATATCAACATTTTGCTTTCCCTCGTATAATTGACTGATGAAAACTTTCATTTTTAATTTAGAGAGAGATACTAAAAATTCAAATAACTTAGCTACAAATTGCTTAAAGAATGTTCAAACGCCCACTATAGAACAAAATATATTAAACTTTAAAATCCATCAAAAATTTAAGGTGCCCGTTCTTCATACCGGTGAGTTTATATTTTAAAGTAAATTTTATTGCTTTTTTATTCTGTATATTCTTTTTAGTATCCAAAATGATATTTAGACATGATATTTTCACACCTTTTAACAGATCTGTTGTAGCCAAAAAACTAGACTTTGTGACAGATGATAAGTTTCTGAAAGTTCCAAGCAGATTTCCCAAAAATGAGACTGGAAATTTTAAAAATCTCTTAGAAGTAAATTCGTCTTCTCGAGAAGATATTCATAATAAAAGTCTGGAACTAAATACTCCCAATAAAGTAACATTATTTCATAGCGGTTTGGGAAAATTAAAAAAGAGAACCACAATTTTAGGAACGGGAACTTTTGGTACCGTATTTCAAGGAATATACAAAGGTAGGGAAAGTGTTCAAGTTTTAAAAAGATTGGGGAATTAGTTGGGAAAACATGTAATCGCAAAACATTTTCCGATGCACGTCATCATTCATATCGACACGACATTGACACTAAAGTCTATAAACCTGACTAAATAAAATTTTAACAAAAATGTTTAAATTTGTTGTATGATTTAAGATACCAAGCAGCTCTCCATTTTACTTTATAGAGCAAATAATTGTAACAGATATTTTATTTAGATTCACGCTACAAAAATTAGTTTAAACCGAATTTTATTATCGCTATGTTGGTCACATTGCGCCGTGTTCAGCAATGTTGTCCTTTATTAGAGCATATACATACCCTTAGTGTCAATCATTATTTTGTGTAACATCGTGTTGTTGTTGAATCTTTTTGAGTAATTCTCGTTTTTTGCCTATTTTCATAGTTTTTTTTTAAATTGCATTTTTAAGCACAAACAGTTATTTTAAGAAGTCAAGTTTTCGAGTTTTTGTATTGCATTTCTTGAAATTGTGTGTTGAAAATATGCCGAAGCATTTAAACAGTCGAAGTAAAGAGCTTGTAACTTTTTTTTAAGCCTGTTTTTTTTTAACTATTTTGAACGGGAACATGACAATAAAGGTCCTTTATAACCCTTGACTGTAGTCAGAAAAGTAAGTTTGATTGATTAGCACATTATACCACTTTTAAATTTAGTTTTTATTAAATTCTGTGATTATTAGTTTGTGCATTAATAGCACCCTCTTACTTGTGATTAGCACTTATGGCGTTGTAAGATTTATACATCAATAAATAAATAACCCCATAATAACGCTTATAATAATCTTCATAGTGGATTAGTTTTTGCCAATATGTAATAAGTTTGGTTTGGTTGTATATTGAAGCTATAAAACAAATAAATCAATTAATCACTAATTATTAAATTAAAAATAAAACGTAAAACTCTTTAAAAAATAATATAATAAATATGTTTTTTGTCAATTTTCAATTAACATTCATCTCATAAATCCATCACAATTTGGCAGCGCTGTCGCCATCGCTTGTCACTCAAAGTTGATCACGTGCATCGGAAATTGTTTTGCGATTACCATATCTATTATTAATGACATCTAGTGTGTCCATAACTTATATTTATTTAAATATTATATTTAATAAAAAAATTTAAATATTAAATTTAATAAAATGTATACTACTTGATCACGAGAAACAGACGTCACAGTGGCAATAGTTAGTAAGTTATATTTCAGTTCAAAGTTTACTATAGTTTTTTTCACGTAAGTTTGCCTTTTATTGCTTAACAGAATCATATTATTGTAGTGCTTTTCATAAAGAAAGTGGCTTTTTCTATAATAATAGAAGAATTTTTTTTTTGAGGGGTGTACTCTAAATACTGTGTATTTTTCTTCATTATTTCAAATGGAACAATCTTCTTCTGGAACACTTATTCTCGCAGAATATACAGGGTGGTCCGAACTGTATTCCGGAAACTTCGGCAGCATATTCTACAGATAAAAATCAATTTTTTCTAAATAATTACAGCCGGGTAATACAATTATCGTGTTTTAATAAGAATTAAAAAAAAACATCATAAAATTATAAAGCTGGAATAGAATACGGTTTTATATTAACTATAATTTTCTTGAAGTTTATAAAAAGAATACATAAAAAATATAAATATCTTTCAAATCCTTCAATTTAATAGCTGTTAGTAAGAAGTTTCACTTCAAATCTCATAATTTGTTTTATTTTCCTATAAAATATTTTATTTTTCTATAAAATTGTAGGTATGCAATAGTCGGGAAAATACTGTTTGTAATAAATCAATAGTACAATAATTTTGAACAAATAAGTAATCTTTTATATAATAAAAACGTCAAAAAAGACAAGATGGCAAGAGTCTTATATGCTTGGTCTTGATCTTGCATTAGTCTTATACTGGTCGGTCTTGACCCAAAATCAAGATCAGATTGTGTCTTTAGTTTCGCCTTAGGGACTGGCAATCTGATATATCTTTGCCAGTCTCGCTCAGGTCTAGCTACAGTTCATATTTTGTATTTTAGGAACCAAAGTAGCTGTTAAAGTGGTTGCTAAAGAAACTAGCAATAATGAAAAAAATGCATTGTTATTAAGTCACCCTAACATAGTGAAAACATTGAACATAATCACCAATCCAGAATTTACCACATATAACTTAATCATAATGGAGCATCTCCCAAAATGCATTACTTTACAGGATGTTCTCGAAAGCTGTGGCGAAAAGTATGATAGTTTAACATTAAAAAAGTTTGCCGTAGATATAACAACAGGATTAGATTACTGCCATTCTAACAATGTTTTACATTTAGATTTGAAACCAAAAAATATCCTGGTTGATCAAAAGAATACATGCAAGATTTGTGATTTTGGAAATTCGGTCAGCATCGGTGATAATTTGAGTAATTTTAAGCACAATGTAAGAAAAACAAGTACATAGAGATTACAGTTAAGGGTTGGAACCTTTGGTGTTACACAGCAAAATAAAAACACTAAATCACCACAATATACCAAAACACTTTTACTTTTACACTGGACGCTCGTTTCGCTAACCATGTTAGCATCACCAGCAGATGATTAATAAACTAAAGTACAATCTACAAGTTGAGCGTTTATATACTCGCTCAGTGGGCACCGAGTGGGCGTTGCAAAATCTAGCCAACCGAGTCAGAGCCCACTGAGCGTAACAGTTAGATTTCCGCCACTAGAGTAGTAGGAACAAAGAACTTGAAGGAATGGGACCGTTGTCTCTGTTCATACTATCTTTACATTTAATAATTCTGATGCTTTCATATGCATCTAATTGCCTGTAATTTGAGACTTGTTTAATTAATTTTAAATTATTAAGATTTATACAATGTTCTTTATCAACAATATGTTCGGCAACGCAAGATTTATCCGGTCTACCATATCATATCTGAGCTAAATGTTCTTTAAATCTATAGTTAATATTGGAGAAATTTTGGGTCAAATTTAAAGTGTTATATTTTTGTTATTTTTAGCTCTATTTTCATGATGTTTTTAGCAAGCTGTATATAATTATATCAATTCGTAAACTCAGTTTTTTATAAACTCTAGTATTTGGCATATTATACAGGGTTAATCGCGGGGATGTTTTTTACCTTAACTTTAAAACACCCTTTGTACTAATTTCGTGTGTAAATTTTCCTAAAATATAATTTTACGGTCAGAACCATGTCTCCTGAGCATTTTGTTTTTTGGATAAAATCAATACATTCCTTGGTTAATTTTTAAGAGCGAGATGAACTTGCCACCAACAATTTGCAATTTTTTCAATTATCATTTATTTTTCAATATGACAAAGCGGCTTTGGTGATTATTGTGAACTATATACTACTATAAACTGCCCATCATGTTCGACGTTTGGGAAATGCTTGGCAGGAGGGTTAGAGGTTGCGAAGCAGTACCAGCTTCATTAAATGAACTTGGCTTGGTTATTAAAGAAGAATGGGAAAGCACAACGCAATATATGATACATGCAGCCTCAATGACACTATGAAAGGACGTATACAAGCAGTTATAGCAGCCAAGGGAGGCAATACAAAGTAGTAGGTTATTTTTTACATAATTTTCTGTTTTTATACTTCAGTATTACAGATGTTTTCTTTAATATCGTTAGTCCTGTTATCGTTATTAATGATTATTAAAACCAGGACTGTATCGGTAGTCTTTTTTTTAATTTAGTATACAGTATCCAATGCAGACAAAATTCACCAAAAAGAACATGTCATCATATTAAAAAATTACATAAAAAAGTAATGATAATTGAAAAAATTGCAAATTGATCGCGTTAACCAAAGCATGTATTGACATGAATCGAAAAACAAAATGCTCAGGAGTCATGGTTCTGGCTGTAAAATTATATTTTAGGTAAATTTACACGAAATTATTGCACAGGGTTTTTTAAAGGTATGGTAAAAAAAACAACCCCTCGATTAACCCTGTATAATATGCCAAATACAAAAGAATATAAAAACCTTATTTTGCGAATTAAAGTTGATATAATTATATACAGCTTGCTAAAAAATTCATGAAAATAGGGCCAAAATTAACAAAAATGTAACAAATTAACAAAAATGTTAAATTTGAGCGAAAATTTCTTCGTTGCGTTTTTTTCATCTGAATGTAGTTCATATTATTATTCTAATCAAACATTTCCTAAAACAGTTTTTGCATATTATCCCAAAACAACGTTTTTGGGATAGGACGGGTTTTGCAACTTGAGCCTCTAGTATTTGGCATATTATACTATACTTACTATATTATTGTAGAGTTTTCCACTTCCTGGCTGAATACTGTATATTGCTACATACTGTATATTGCTATATTATACTACGCATTGAACACCTGGGAGTGCTTTTAAATCTTATTTCGTTCTAGGGTACGGTAATCTATACTGCTCCCGAACTGCTCCTAGGTAAAAGCCCATCAATGAAAAGTGATATCTATTCCTTAGGGATAATATTCTGGCAAATAAAATATAGGAAAACGCCTTTTGAGGCCTACGATAGCAATGAGAGCATCATTTATAATGTAAGAACTTTCAGGGCTCTATTCGAACGAACGCGCCATTTTCGATTTATCAATTTTTAGGTAGCAAAGCATAATATACGACCGACGTGTGATAAAAATAACGAAGATTTGTTTACAAACATATTTACGAAATGTTGGAATACCGAGTCTAATATAAGACCGAATACATGTGATATTTTAAAGGATTTGGAACACGTTCAAATTTAATTCTTATTTATTTATTTTTAATATATTAACTTGTTGTAGTTTGTTTTTATTTTTTATATTAGTAAATATTTATTATAACCTGCAGATTTGTTTTATTGCTATGCATCAAAATTCTCTAATTACTATATATAAAAATTACAAAAATACAGTAGGTATATTTAAATATAAATAACAGTTATTAGTAGGGGAGTCCAATATGTTAAATAGGGATTTACCCGAGCCGAGCGTCGCGTCGCTGGGACCTATTGTATTGTGAAGATTAGGTATCGGGAGCATGTACAGTGTACAGGGTGGGTCAAATTGGATGCTTTTATAAGGAAACACCCTTTCTATAGGAGATATACGAAAACTAATATTTAGCAAATTTTATTTATTATTTAGAACACCCCGTATATTTTTAATTAGCTAAAAAGAACTTAAAATTACCTTTTCAAAAATACAGCACACTTGATATTTTGTTAACTAGTAGGCTTTACTAGTTAAGCCCTTATTAATGATCTGCCCCTAATGGAACTCGAAAACATATTTTTCCAGCAAGACAAAGCATCGCCTCAGAACGCTGAAGTTATCAGCAAATTTTTGCAGCCAATTTCGAGAATAATTGAATAGCTAACCAAGATCCCAGCCGTCGACGGTCGAGGCTGCTGGACTTACTGCCTATGGATTTTTATCTTTTGCTGAAGAATAAAGGTTTTTATTTTTAAATTAATAAATAATAATAAAAATAATCTAGACAAGAATTAGAAGTACTCAGCGGTTATGCGAGGGTATCTTAGGGAGTTAATGAATTCCGCGATAAATGTTCAAAAACGTTCCCGTCTGTCGATTACAGCAGACGGTCGGTATGTCAAACACCTGTATCAAAATCTCATGTCTTGGTTTGCTATTTATTTTTATGGTTATTAGATATAGTTTAAATGTGTTGATGTTGTTAAATATAGCTTAAATTATTATAAAATTCTGCATCTCTTATTGCAAATATTATTTTTGTTTTAATTGCTGCTCACAGCTAGATTTTTTTGCATTACAGCCTAGTTATTCAAAGTGGGCGAATTTTTATAAACTCTATATCTCGAGGAGGAATCGAGGAAAATATCAAGTGTACTACATTTTTAGAAAGTTAATTTTAAATTCTTTTCAATGAATTAAAATATACAGGGTGTCCCATATAAAAAAAGATCTAATTTTCTGTTGATAATTCTTAAATTATTAATTTAGAAAATATTTACTTAAACCATTAAATTCTACGTAAAAAGGTGCTTTGGAAATATTTTCATAAAAGTACAAAATTTTCCATAGCAAAAAAGTTACAGTGATTTGTGAAAAGTGCACCATTTTTGAAAAACACCCCCTAACTCCGAAACGGTAACAGATAGATTTGCAGGGCTTTCACCATCATGTTTTTGATAAAAATTGAGCTCCAGACACCGATATTAGTTTTCGCCTATCTTCTGTAGAACAGAACGTTTCTCTTTAAAAGCTTAATTTGGCCCATCCTGTACAGGTTTTCAAAAATGTAAAAAGAACAGTGACAAAGAAATATTTGGACTGTTTAGGATATTAATAGTGCATACGCCCCACGGTGTTTCTTATAATGGAGGGATATTAATCTGTCGGTTTACATGGTAGGGATTGGCCATACGAAGGGGTAAAAATGAAAAAATATTCGTGTTCGATTAATTTACATTTCGAGACATCTATGTAATTTAAATAAGAAATATGAAAGCGAGACTTTCAAAAAAGACATTGCCTGTATTAACACAAATTGGTTAATGGTTATTAAATTATTTTATCTAATTCATTTATGAACAACAGTTCTTTTTTCTATATCTCTACTCTGAATGCTTGTCTGAATTTATAACGTTTTTATTTTACAGTGTATTAATATTTTCTTTTATTTTCAGTCATTCCAGGGTTCCCAAGGTCGAGCCTATCTTTTTAATTCCGTGTAAGTATATCTATAGCTTTAGTAACGTAGTCTTATTTTATTTTTCGTTTTTTGTCAAATTTTTTTAACGTTATTTTTCGTAAAATACTAATATCGTTGATAGAAGAAATAAGAAGATGCACAACCTTATGGGCGATTTCGTGGCACAAAATATGTCCGAGATGTGGCTGGCATTATCATCAGCCTGTCTGAGAATTTCGAGATTTAGTTTAGCACTGCGCCGCTGCGCGCTGATGTCATGTGCAGAGTGAAACAATACTGTACCGTAGTTCTGCTTTCAGTCGACAGAGGGAGTGGTTGCCGGAGACAGGCTGCCAGAACTACTGATTAATTCATAGATTTACAGATTTTGGGTACAGAAAGTTAATAATACGGATTTTCTATCATTAACGAATTTAGTATTATGTGATAAAACAAAGAACGGCGTTAAAGTTGGCTTGGAAATGAAGATCGCGGTTATTTCATATGTAAAATATTATGGTAAATGCCAATAATTCGTTAATTTCCTAGCCAACTAAACGACTTTTTTCGATCATACGATATATTCAGTACCTATAAAAGAATTTTTATTTTTGTTGTTTATTCTATGTTTAACACGAATAAATGTTCACTACATAAAGGCGAATTTTTCATCCAAAAATTTTTTCGTAAAACGTATTACAGATATTACACATTTTAATATGGCAACATTGTTGCTTTCAGGTCCACACAGTCTTCAATATGCCTTCGCTGGCCGAATTAGAGAAAATAAGTGTTCTATTCGTTGACCGCAGAACGATTGGTGTCTCCACCGTATAGCACTTAAGACGTAGGGGAAATCATATCAGCCTTGTCACGAATTCGCTCATTAGGTTGCATATTTTCCCAATTTCTTCAATCAACGCTAATATGATTTTTTATTTTATAAGGTTACATATGTACACAATTTTTTTTTTAAACAATAGGAATTATTATAAGAATATTGTACAGGGGGCGTTATCATTTTAGTTTGACCCACTTTTAAAAGCTTATAACTTTTTTGTATGTTGGGTTAAAGCAGTCATTCAAAAAACATGTAGCAGTTTCAGCCAAGTTTTTGCGAGTGTTGTCAAAAATGACAGTAGGTGTCACATGTCAGATTTTTAAAACTAAAAAAAACTCTCTTTTTAAATGGGACACCCTGTATATTAGTAGCGCATTAGATAGTCACCTTTTCTCCGAATTTAAAAATGTATCACACATGTGCATTCTTCTCAATTTCTTGAATGAATGCTTTAACCCAACAAACAAAAATGTTCTAAGCTTTTAAAAGTGCGTCAAACTAAAATGATAACCCAGATATTGTTTCTTCTTTTCGTTCCTTTATTTAAATTTTTATAAAATTAATTTTTTTCTATCTAAAATACTTGCAAAACATTTCTCTCAAAATGTATCTATTTTGGGCAGCATGCAATGGACGCGTTTGATTAACAAATACGGAATTGAAAGTTGGAGGGTTCGGAAGCCAATCAATGTAAGTCAATCAACAATTGCATTAAGTAGTTTCACTAGTCCGAAAAAGTACCAAAATAAGCGTTCGGTATTTAACGTTTTATGTCAAACTGGCTACGTGTTTTTACACAAATGAAGAAGGATATTAAAGATAAAGGGTTATACTATGTCCGTATTATAGCATATTTTTAGACAACTTCTTTATTTTTAAGATTTTGATGGTCAAACATCAACAAAATATTCCTTATGTTTGGACTACATTTCCTCGAAAATAAAGACATAATTTAAAATTCCGTTACAATACGGAAATAGATTGAAGTTTTGTGATTACAGTGATATAGTTTATATGGTTTTGTAACAAATTGCTCGCTATTTTATGGCAAATGCTGAAGCTTTGCAAACCTTAATCAAGCTTTAATCAAGCACGTGTGTTTGGAATTTTGGGCGTGGCTTAATACGACAGGATCGGGCTAAGCCTTAGGCAGATTTCTGAAATATAAGATATATTTCCTTCCGCCACACACCCGCTTCACCCGACCTCTGAGAGAAACCAGTAAGTACAGCGTAATATACTCTTAAGATAGTCCATATAATGAGGTTTGAAAAAAAAACATTGTTAGTTATGTTTTCTATTAATAATTACTTAAGTTAACTATCTTCAAATTGATTTTAATTTTTTTTAAATCTTGTTTTAAACCTCATTATATCAATGAAAATTTTGATTGACTTACACTGATTGGCTTTTGAACCTCCCAGTTCATAGTCGTTCTGGTATAAGAATCAATGTTGTGATTTTATTAAATAAAATGATATCAAATATGTTGAGGATTATTTTTATGTAGAATTATTGTATATGTAAGAATATTTTTTATATAATAAATAAGTTAACTCCAGCCTAAACAACCATCATTCTACAGCAACAATTTTCTGTGATTTTTCTAAGGCGTTCGATTGTGTAAATCATAAGATCTTAATTAATAAACTGCAGCACTATGGGTTCAGGGGATCATCTCTTGAATGGTTTAAGTCGTATCTGAGCAACAGAAGTCAACTTGTGAGGGTGGATACCACGTTGTCTTCTAGCAAGCCAATAGAATATGGAGTACCACAAGGCTCAGTACTAGGCCCTATTTTGTTTCTTCTTTTTATTAACGACATTGCTAACATAAACATCAGTGGCAAAATATGTCTTTTTGCGGACGACACTAGCTTCACTTGGAGCAACAAGGACATCACGGCACTTCATAGGATTATATCAAATGACCATTAAATCTTGGTGCTTAAATCACCATTAAATCTTGGTGCGATTCGAACCTCCTGAGTCTCAACATTTCTAAAACTAAAGCTTTGTCGTATAAAAACTCGTTGCAGCCTCTTATACTTAACAACACCACCATTGACGTCGTCAAATCTGTAAAGTTCTTAGGGCTTGTTGTGGACAATTCTCTGAAATGGGACATACATATCGAGGCTTTGTCGAAAAAATTGAGCTCTGCCTGTTTTGCATTAAGGCCTGTTTTTAAGGAGCTTAACTTGTCAGTGGCTAGAACTGTTTATTATGCACTTTTTGAGTCGCACCTCAGGTATGCCCTTCCATTCTGAGGTACGTGTTGTGCGACTCAATTTGAACGCATTTTCAGGCTCCAGAAGAGAGCTGTTCGATATTCACTGGGACTAAACAGCAGAACTCATTGCCGGGACTTTTTTAAAAAATTAAAAATATTGACTCTTCCTTCCTTATTTATATTTGAATCCGTTTGCCTAATACGTAATAAACATGTATCAGCTTCTCAAGAGAGAAAGGCCATTTTACACTTATCCATTCAGGAACGCGGAGCAATGTCTTTATCTACCTACCCCACGCTCAGAGTTAGTTAAAAGTTCAATATTATACAACTCGAAAAAAGTGCCATTTGAAATCAAATCCATAACATCATTTTTTTCATTTCGCAAAGCATTGAACTCTTATTTACTAGACAAGGCTTTCTACGCCGTAAATGAATTATATTTTGAAAATCAAATTTGATCTTGTAAACACTGGTCTAATGTTTGCTATTGCTATATTTACTAATGACATCGAAATGAATTTATTTAGAGGTCATTGATATTTTACTATAAACTAGCTAAATATTTTTGAATATTATTTTTATTTTTTTGTTCTTTGACATTATAAACATTTATAAATGTTTATTTTAACAATAAGACTTACAATATTATTTGTATAATGTTTTGTATTATCTTTTGTTTGTTTGTTTGTGTACCTTCTTTTTTTACTTTGTTTGTTAGTTTACCTTTGTCTACAAATTGAAAAATTTGTTGACAATAAAGGCATTTATTTATTATTTATTTATTTATTTATATATAAAAAAGGGTAGAATGTGGAAATAAAAGAGGAGAATTGAAAACTGAAATTAAACCCTTTCTTAATTTACTCCTAGTAGAGTCGATAATTACTGTAATATGAAGGGATGATAAAATATGAGACAATCATTGATAATACCGTAAATCTAAAAATTCACGGATAATAGAAACATTGAAACACCTAATGACACTAATATGTATAAATATTTGATAATTTTGTGTTAAACATTGTTTTTGAATAAAATAATTTACCAATAAGTGGAAATACCTAGTTTCTATTCTTTCTATCATTTTCTATTCTGTCCATAATCTTCCTTTTAACTCTGTTATGATACTATCTAGTTATTTGACCTCAGGGAATTCATGAATTAAATTTTATTATTAGTTCACCAATACATGTCACTACATTATTTAATGAACCTTATTCCTACAAACAAAGACAAACTAAACTCCCCGGCACAAAATTCCGTCATCCTAATATTTTGACTAAGTTTGATGTTCCATAACTTTTTAATTTTTAATCCAATTTTTATGATTAGAGTATTAGTTAGTAGATAAATTTGTTGTCATTATTTTTTATTATTTTAATGGCTTATACATTTCGGTTAGGTAAGTTTACACCGAGTTATATCAATACGTTTTTTGCAATAAATTCAAAACACCTGATGGCAAAAATAGGCCGGGCGTTTTGGATAAAAAATACTGTTCTGTAATCTTAGATGCATTACACCATTTTTAAATAAAGTAGGTACTGATATTTTTACAATCTTGAATTTGTTGAAAATGGAGCTCACAATGCCCATCGTTATATTGAGGATGTCCTCCGAGAAGGTGTTGTTCTATTTGCTCCTTTCATTGGAAATCAGTTTATACTGATGCATGATAATGCCAGGTCCCACGTTGTGCGGGATAACGAGTTATGAGTAACGAACACCTGGATGAGGTTGGACTACGAAGATTGGAATGGCCTCCTTGTAGTCCCGATCTCAATCCAATCGAACATTTGTGCGATGAACTTAAAAAAGCTTTCATCGTCGTCCTATTCCACCATAAAATTTACGAATTTTGTGCCGGGAAGTATATTTTGGGTGTACAGTGTGTCCCATTTTGGTTGAAATCATAGGGTATCTCCGTTATTAGTGAAGATAGAAGGGTGCGGTTTGCACAAACCTGTCCCATTTTTTCGTCAAACGGAAGAGGCTGCAAACAAAATTTTCATAGCCCTCTTAGTTTCTGAGCTACAGGGTCTTTTCGAAAATTTTGCAATTTGGGACACCCCCTGTATCTCTGTTATTGTTAAAGGTATCGAGAAGGCGAAAACTGCTTGTTGTAGAACTTTTTACGTGGAATGCAGTGGCGTAGTCTGTTTTTCTACCAAAAAAATATTTTTGAAAATATGAACTAAAGTTATGTTTTTTCAAATGGAACACCCTGTATATTTATAAATCATACGATCTGTCTTGCTATAAGCTTCTCAAAAATATATATCACTCTATATTTATTTTTACTATTTACTGCAATATTTAAAATATATAATTTTCTTATTAGTAGGCCGTGATAAATAACAAAAAATCAAAATGGTATTTACTAAAATAGTTATACACATATTAAAATTAATTTGGGATTGATATATTTTACTTTAGTTTCTGAGATATAAATTTAATCGGACCTTTTTAAAAAAATTAATTTTATTTTTCAGAAACTATTAGGGACAGAGTTTACCAAAAATGCTTTTTATATCTACTAGTGGGTAAATGAATTTGTAGATATATAACGACTTTTCTTGGAACTTTAGTTTCGGAGATATTAATTTAATCCAATGTTTTTGTTAAATTTTTAAAAAAATTAATTTTATTTTTCAGAAACTATTAAAGACAGAGTTTACCAAAAATGCTTTTTATAACTACTAGTGGGTAAATGAATTTCTAGATATATTACGATTTTTTTTGGAACTTTAGTTTCGGAGATAAAAATTTAATCGGACCTTTTTAAAAAAATTAATTTTATTTTTCAGAATCTATTAGGGACAGAGTTTACCAAAAATGCTTTTTATAACTACTAGTGGGTAAATGAATTTCTAGATATATTACGAATTTTTTTGGAACTTTAGTTTCGGAGATATTCATTTAATCGGACATTTTTAAAAAAAAATAATTTTATTTTTCAGAAACTATTAGAGACAGAGTTTACCAAAAATGCTTTTTATATCTACTAGTGGGTAAATGAATTTGTAGATATATAACGACTTTTCTTGGAACTTTAGTTTCGGAGATATTAATTTAATCGGACCTTTTTAAAAAAATTAATTTTATTTTTCAGAAACTATTAAAGACAGAGTTTACCAAAAATGCTTTTTATAACTACTAGTGGGTAAATGAATTTCTAGATATATTACGATTTTTTTTGGAACTTTAGTTTCGGAGATAAAAATTTAATCGGACCTTTTTAAAAAAATTAATTTTATTTTTCAGAAACTATTTGAGACAGAGTTTACCAAAAATGCTTTTTATAACTACTAGTGGGTAAATGAATTTCTAGATATATTACGAATTTTTTGGGAACTTTAGTTTCGGAGATATTCATTTAATCGGACATTTTTAAAAAAAATAATTTTATTTTTCAGAAACTATTTGAGACAGAGTTTACCAAAAATGCTTTTTATAACTACTAGTGGGTAAATGAATTTCTAGATATATTACGATTTTTTTTGGAACTTTAGTTTCGGAGATGAACTGTTTCACCACTGAAACTGTGAATATATTTTTCTTTTTTTTATAACGAAATGGGTTTGCAAATATCTAAAAGCTTGAATTATTAAAGCATTTTTCAGGTGTTCGACATTGTTGTAGGTTGTAGTGCCCACGATATATTTCGTATTTCAAAAATCCCCAAAATCAGAAATCGAGAACGGCGAAATCCGGGAATCGAGGAGGCTATCAATATGTGTTCATTGGTTCCAATTCATTGATTTGAAAAATAATAATTTAACAGTATTCTAATATTTTCATAGTTATGAGGGGGAATGTTCCCCATCTTGCTGAAAGTATATTTCACGTAAATTAGCTAAAGGAATATCTAAAATTTCCGATACAACAGATTATTCGTACGTATACACGTATTCCAAGATTTGCAAATAGACGTAGGGAGTTTGGTTTGGTTTCCCTAATATATAAGAAGTTTCCCTAATATATAAAGAATTTATTAGCGGCTCCCTAAGTAAAACTAGAGACAGATAGCAGTATACTTTTAATAATTCTTTAGTTTCTTTTATGTATTTTATTCTAATTCTTTAGTATCTTTTTTTTTTTAATATGATCTTTTAATAAAAACTTTTAAATATTGCAGTAAATAATGAAAATAAATATAGAGTGATATATATTTTTGAGAAGCTCATAGCAAAACAGATCATATGATTTATAAATATACAGGGTGTTCTATTTGAAAAAACATAACTTTAGTTCATATTTTCAAAAATATTTTTTTGGTTTCTACGCCACTGTATTCTACCTAAACAGTTCTAGAATAAACGGTTTTCATCTTCTCGATAGCTTTAACATTAACAGAGATACAGGGGGTGTCCCAAATTGCAAAACTTTCAAAAAGACCCTGTAGCTCGGAAACGAAGAGGGCTATGAAAATTTTGTTCACGGCATCTTCCGTTTGACAAAAAAGTGAGACAGGTTTGTGCAAACCGCACCCTTCTATCTTCACTAATAAAGGAGATACCGTATGATTTCAACCAAAATGGGACACCCTGTACATATTTAAATTTCGTCAGAACTAGAAAAAAAACTAATACATAATTTTTTTTTTAATTTTCCTACGAATTTGCCATCCAGTGTAACCGCCACGCCACATTAGAATCACATTTGATTTTATAATTGTCAAAATCAAAGCCCGCTTGATCCAAACTTATTTAATATACCGTGTTTTACTTGAGTGTACTTTTTTAGACTGTTATTTACCAATATGTTTGATTTTTTTACAGAGTAAACGTTGGATGCGGACCAGCTGAAGAACGTGTTCTACTGACGGGTCTACACGCAGTAGCTGATATTTATTGTGAATGTTGTAAAACCACACTTGGGTGGAAATATGTAAGTACCTAGAATAAAGGGAGTTTTAATAAAATTTTCATAATTTAATTAATTCTGGCAGTAAGCCGAACATTTCCCAGAATGGACTCTGATTTAGAGGAGGGAATTCTAGTTCCTTGGAAGGTGTTGATAGTTCCTTAGTTCTATTTCCTCCAGAGGAATAGTTTCTTGAACTAGGTCTTTAGTTCACAATAGTTCCCGACTAACATTGACATCCCCGATGGATGCTAATAGATTTCGTTGTCAGTCAGAACTATTCACATTATGATCTGTATAATTTTTATAATGTACGAAATATAACGAGACGTGTAATTGAGTATGTTAAAAACATATAGGTAAGATTTATTGCAGATGAAAAATTAAATAAGAAACTCCAATCAGAGTTTAAAAAACTATATCAGAAATCAATTGGAGAAAATAATACGAAAATTTTTCAAAAAATTGATTTTTCATCACATCAAGCTTTTTGTTTTTGACTAAAAATTCAGAATATCTACTTCGTTTTATAAGATAGATACAGGGCCGGCGGAAGGGCCGGGCGACACGGGCGACCGCCCGGGGCGCCCAATGTGAGGGGCGCCAGGCCGACAACTAAAATATTTAAAAAAAATTGTTCGTGGTGTTTTACTTATAACTGAAAAGCTATCAATATTTTGTAAATAACCCTTCTTTCTACAGGGTTGTTCACCATATACGACACGGAGTATTGTAGCTAAACGATTAGATTTTTACAAATTTCAAGTTTTGGGTTCGATGAAGGACTATTAGAGGTACAATTTAAAAATAATTTTACAAGATACAGAGTGTCCCAAATAAGTAAAAAATATCAAAGTTGTATTTTTTTAAATGGAACACCCTATATATTATTACATTTTTAGTTTCTACGATTAAAATAAAGGTAAATTTGATTAGGGTTTATTATACTTAAACCTTACCGTTTTTGAAATATTTTCAATTTTGTGAAATTGCAGTAAAAAATTTAAGGCTTCATTTCTCCAAGGGTATTAAAGTTTTTAATACTAAATATTTACTGAAGTTTATTTATTGATCAGTTATTGTGTTGCAATAATAAAAATAATACTACCTTATACAGAGTGTCTAAAAATTTATTTTAAATAATTTCTAGCTTTAAACACCAATAACTTCTTTAATTTAAATGGAACGCCTTGTATATTTTAGGAGAATCAGATGCATAATTTAATTGTCTATCAAATTGTATCATACCATTTTTTACCTATCCCTTCAAGTTTTCGTAGAAAATGCATTTTCTTATCATTTAGACCCCATTTATCAATATACCCATGGAATATTGGCATATTAGATTGTTTTTAAAGCAACAAATGTACAAAATGTACAGGCTACGTTTTTAGCAAAACGATAATATTACTAGCCCATTTGTATGCAAAAAGCAAACTATTTAAATCTTTATAAAAGAGTACACCATTAATTAAATATAACACCATTATTTCCGCCCATATACTAATTAATTACATACTTAATTGTGTTCGTTAATAAATTATTCTAAATAAATGTGGATTTGAGTCAGAAATCAATATAATAATGTTATCAAAATTAACGTCTCTGTTGTTATAAATAAGCATTTATTAAAAAATTAAATATCATTTTAAGGTGTTACTTTTTACCACACCGTCAAATACATATACAAAACAAAGTTTTTTAGTATTTGGGGCAATTATTATTAATCAACGCAAACAGTCAGTTAATGTAGTTTGAATACTAGAATCATATTAATTGGTTCTCTTTAACAAATATTTAAACATTTTTTTTTATTTTTTAGTGAAATTACCGAATTATATCGACAATATTAGTATCTGTACTCTTTAAAAATTTGGTACATCTTTAAAAATAATCTAAAATGTCAATATTTCATGGGTATATTGATAAATAAGTTCTAAATTACAAGAAAATGCATTTTCTACGGAAACTTTAAGAGATAGGTAAAAAATGGTATAATACAATATGATAGAAAATTAAATTGAGCATCTGATTCTCGTAAAATATACAGGGTGTTCCATTTAAATTAAACACGTTATTGCCGTTTGAAGCTGATAATTATTTAAAATAAATTTTTAGACACTTTGTATAAGGTAGTATTATTTTTATTATTGCAACACAATAACTGATCAATAAATAAACTTCAGTAAATATTTAGTATTAAAAACTTTAATACCCTTGGAGAAATGAAGCCTTAAATTTTTTACTGCAATTTCACAAAATTGAAAATATTTCAAAAACGGTAAGGTTTAAGTATAATAAACCCTAATCAAATTTACCTTTATTTTAATCGTAGAAACTAAAAATGTAATAATATACAGGGTGTTCCGTTTAAAAAAATACAACTTTGATATTTTTTACTTGTTTGGGACACTCTGTATCTTGTAAAATTATTTTTAAATTGTACCTCTAATAGTCCTTCATCGAACCCAAAACTTACAATTTGTAAAAACCTCATCGTTTAGCTACAATACTGCGTGTCGTATGTAGTGAACAACCCTGTATAATTCTTGTTTTTATAAATTTTCTCTAAACAAACTGTTTTGGGTCAAGAGCCAGCAAAATTGACAGTTTTAGACTGCTTGTTGCTCAAAATTGCACTTTGTCTACTACCCACACCCTTTATTTGGTAATGGCTGATCTGCCCTAAAATTATATGAGACAAATATTCATTCGCAAGAAGCTAAATAGGATCCCGATATCCTTACTATCAAAAAAAAGCTTGTAAGTTTGCCTCATAAATTTATGTAGTGGGAAACACAGTAACAGTAGTGGGAAAAATATCAATCTTTTGGTGATTTTGATTGTTCTGTATTGAATATGTAGTAATACAGGGTAAATGGTAGCAGATTCGTAGAAATTTATCATTAAAGCAAGACAAATGAATGCATCTCAAATCTCAAACACTGGCTGATCCACATTTTGAAGCCGACAAAACTGTATCTGATCACACCTATACTGATTCTGCACGAAATAATTGATTATAATGATGCCAATTGCTTGCAACTAAATAGTAATGTTTTCAAAGATCACTTATACTTATCATTTATATACCGGGTGCGTCTCAAAACTGGCTCACTCCTATAACTTGTTTATTTTTTCACATAAAAAAACGAGATTTGGTATGTTAGTATACGACGTAATTAATATACGGATTACTACGGATTAATTGATTAATACGGATTAATTGACGTATTCAATTGTTTTTGATCACTTACTCTTTCACCGGAAATTAATAAAACTTTTGATTTTTAAATGTCAACCTCGGTATATTTCTACTTTATGCGATAGAAAATGACAATCTGAATAGAATGACGTATCATATGTCAACTTTTGACATTTTCACATATGGATTATTTGAAATTGTAACATACGGTTGTTAACGACAATTTGACTCGAAATATCAAGTGTGTGGTACAAAATTATTCGTAAAAAAATCCTTTTCCAAATATGCAAATGAGCCACTTGTTCAATTTGAAAAAATTGGCATATGATTAAAAATACGATTTGGACATTTTTAACCGACCAGGACAAGACACGAAAAACATTAGACGATCAAATCTATTTTTCCAAGGCTCCTTGTTTAAAAATTAGTGTTTTTAACACAACTATGGCACTCTAGATTGAAATTTAAAATACGATTTTTTGAGGAAAAATGTCAAAAGTTGACATATGATATGTCATTCTACTCAAGAGTGTCATTTTCTATCGAATAAACCAGAAATATACCGACGGTATATAAAAATCAATAGTTTTTTTGTTGAAACAGGAAGTGACCAAAAACAATTGAATACGTCAATCAATCCTAATTTATGTCAACATACCAAATTTCGTTTTTTATCTAAAAAAATAAAACTTTCAAGATGCACCCGGTATAAAAAAAACAACCGCGGACTAAGATTGAATGAAGAGAAGAATTTTGAAGTACCTGTAAGTAAAGTTTTATTGTTAAAGTAGCATAAATATGCTTAGTTGTTATGGTAACATGTTAACTATTGGGGGGGGGGGCGCCACGTAGGGTATTCGCCCGGTCTCAATATTTCCCTTCCGCCGGCCCTGGATAGGTATTTCTTAATTTTACGGACCTAAAGTGAAACATTCCCATAAAATATTCAAAGAACAAACTAAAAATCAAAAACAGTATCCACGACAATTTTCTGTGGTAATTACGCCGACTGTGGCAATAGACAAGGCGGAATGCGTCGTCATCGCCTTGTATTATATCTTAGATCTGCCGACTGAATAGATTTCCGTGAACTAGTCTTTTAATTATTTCCTCTTAGTCCTTTCGGTCCGAGACAGGTAACATACGGCTGGCATTCTCCACTACCGCCTAGCATCGGGCTACGATCGCGCTGGCCGATCCGTACACCAAACTAGTCTTTTATTTAGTTCCTCTAGGTCCGGTTCCGATAACATACGGCTGGCATTCCTGCTTAGCATTTGGCTACGATGGCGCTGGCCGATCCGTCGCATATTATTATTTATATCGGTCACAGTCTCGATCCCGAAATAGGTCCTGAGGAACTAGTTCCTTTCATTGCGGGGTCGGAATAGTTCATTGGAACTAGTTAAATCTTTAAATTATTTTCTCCGTCACATCACTTATAGGATATGAAGAATATTTCATTACCTTTAATTGAACTTAAGAATTTAGTCATTCATATGTAGCTTATGCAATCAACCTTTGACTTTTGCAAGTATATTTATTGACCTATTTCGTTCCTTGTTATGGCTCCATTTTCAACTATGTCATATAGAAATAAACACATCAAAATAAATAATCTTTCTTCAGTTATCTAAATAAACTAGTAGTTGTTGTTTAATACTTGTAAATATTTTGATGGACGATATAAAATATAGATCAGTAAAATTTATTACTATTAAGAAAAACGATAATTTTGGTTTCAATAAGTTTGATGTATTATTACTGTTTTTATTTAATGAATTTTTAATGTTTAATTTGATGATCACGCTTTTTTTCTTTTAGGAGCATGCCTTCGAATCGAGTCAAAAATACAAAGAAGGCAAATTCATCATTGAACTAGCCCACATGATTAAGGAGAACGGATGGGACTGACAGTACGAATAGTGGTGCACCAGTGAACACCATCTCTCATCCATTATTTTCCTTTGTTGTACCATCAAAAATGTTCAAGAAGGACAAGCAAGCCACTAGTTATAAACTCACATTAAATTGTAATTTTTGTTTCCTAGATTGGACCTAATATTTCAGTCGGTGTAGGTAGTTTAAATTAACTTGAAAATGGGGAAATGGCGGATGATTAAAAAAATAAAATACTATATACATTGTACTCTTTAAAATAGTTTTTAATATTGGAATTACACAAGACGACACTTATATAAGGTTATTGTAATGCAGTAAACACGTACTCTTATAAAACATCAGCTATTTCTTCTCGAAACCAATGACTGAAATATTAGCCGTTAAGTCGACGATTTTAACTATAAGTGAGCATATGAAGACTTGGTTGTAGTGCAGAACGCACTAGCATTAAAGACACTTATCGTAAAAGTGGAATTTGTGACAAGAAGTTTTTGCGTCTTTAGGAGTAGGTAATTTAAAGGTATCTGTGGTAATAAAATTGACTTGGACTGTGACGCAGGCACCGAACAGAAATTATTTGTATTTTATTGCCACAAACGGTGTCTTAGCAAATAAATTAAGTATTTAAACGTTTTTCACAATGTCAAAATAGACGCTATAGTTATCTTTAAGTATCGACTCTTCACTAATTCTTACCGTTTTCTACCCATGTTGCATCAGTATTTCAAACGTATATATTCAACAAGTTCTCGAGTGTGTTAAACATATGATGTAGATGGGATTAAGCTTCTAGGGTTGGTTTAGCAATTGTACAGCAGCTTAAATAGGTAAAAATTGAGTGTTGAGCTTCAACTACAATGGGCTCTTGTCAACTATTGTGCTGACTATTTAATGGCGCTGGTAATAAGAATCACGTGCGTGTAAAAACACAATGTCTAAAATAAGAGCCTTTACACATCTAAGAAAACTATTGCTGGAAATATCAGTGCCATTTACTTTAGCGTTTCCTTCTTCTAGTCGGACTGTATGGGATCAAAGAATGAGTGCAATATAGATAATCAGCTTAAGAGAGCAATTTGAGATACATCATATAAATATTTTTTTATTTGTCTTATTTCGTTGGTTCTTGTGAGAAAATAATTTTAATATCGCAGAATTTAATATTGTAATAGTATTATTCAGGGTCTTTGAAATGCAAAGTAAATATACATACATATTTTCGAAATTGACTAAAAATAACTTCAGTGTTTATAAGTGCCCACAATAATGAATGAAAACATTTCCAGAATATTCTAAGATTAGATTTGGCATCCAAATGTACTCAAGTAAAGCGTAAAATTCGCATACAAAACTTTTAGATATTTAACTTTCTTTAAAATAATTTAGTTTGAATTTTAGTAATTATTGTAATGTAATATAGGATTACTATAGATATGTGTACGTGGTTGGTACATTCATTGTGATCTATTATTTTAGAAACATAGTTACAAAGCATCTAAAATCAATCTAAAAATATATTTACTAAAAAACCAGTGGGTTAAAATTTAAAAAAACATTCATATTTCTATATAGTTTTTACTTGAATGACTTGTATGACATGTATCTAAATGCACTTAAAAGTACATTCATTTAAATACAATATTCTTAAATCCATAAACTACAATTTTAATTTTGGCGTTTTTTGACTGGATTTTGCCACTTGTTGACAAAACATTAATGAATAAAATATATTATGTACTGTGCTAAAAGTATAATTTTAATCTGTATTACTATGCATTTTTATCTATAATTAATTTTATCGAATAAAAATAGGACAATACACATTTTTTTTTACTTGAAGACAGATATTTTGATTCTTTAGTGATTTTCTGGTGAGCAACATCCTAGAATAAGAAAACTGGACTATATTATTTTAAATAGGGCTGAAATAATATGTTACATACTCCTTGGTGTATTTGTTGTTTCGTATAATTAAAATGACAAAAATTATTTTCTCACAAGAACAATAATTTCAAGAATACTGAAAAAAAATCTGTATTGTATTTTTCTACAAAATTAACAAAAAAATACTTTTCTAATATAAAATGATGTTTCTTAACAGATGCCAAAGAGATTCCGAATATTACCGAGTCTCTGATTTCATCGCCATAATATTAGAATGAAACTCACAGTTTACGAAAACAAGGTCCAGCTTTTAGACAATGAATAAAGGATACAAGGACGCGTAACGGGCATATATGGGCTGTCGCAAAATTTGTGATGTTAGATGCCATTTTGTTGGAGATAACGGATGTGTCCCAGTATGGAGTGTAGAGATGTGGAAAAATATCTCTTATGGGACTTTATTTGAAAAAGTGGTCACAAAAATAGAAAGAATAAGGGTTCACCAAGTGACCACAGTGGCGCTGATAACGCATAAATTTAAAAAATGTAAAGTAACAATAGATAAGAGAATAAAAGTAACATAACCAAACATTACTCAAAAAAGCTATGTTTTTATTTTTTAGAATATATAAAACAATTATTTTTATATATTAGAGGCCCAGTCTATTGCTGCTGAATAAAAATCGATAATTTATTTCATGTGACATGAAAATAAAATTTGTTTTTTTTTTAAACCCTCGTCTTCGGGTCAAATAATTATCTCTTTTGAATCATTTTCACATACAAGTATTTTAAATTTTAGGTTTTTGCTACAGCAGCGCCATCTTATGTCTTCCCTTTTTTATGACCCTCCATTTTTTAATGCACGAAGATATTTCTCCTTATCTCTACACTCCATAGTCACCAGAGGCAATTTTAGCGATTATTAATAGTCTGTTGTGTGTAGTGAACTTTGTATAAATGTTATTACAATGGTTCAGCTTTCAAGTGTAAAAGCCACAACGATAAGAAAGAGCCAGGAATTATTTTTAAAACAGTTAATTTTCGGTACTCAACCTTTTTAGCGTTTTCTTATTGAATTTCATAATTATTTTCCTGAAATTATACTATGTATGTATGTCCTAACATATATTATAGTCCATACTAGTTTTGTACCTTTTGTGAACGTTTTAATACGTATTTTACGTTAAAGAAGAAGCACCCACCATGGGCGTAGGCGAAACATTAATCAAAAATATAAATAAATAAAGATTATTCATAACTAAATAAGTCTAATAAGCGTAACAGTAACTAATAAATTATATTTTTAACAATTTTCTCTTTACTTTTTTTTCTCTACTTTCGATTTTTCGAAATTAGAAAAAATACACAGCTAAAGGCAAGAAAATATTATTTATAAATTATATTTTGTAACCGTCCGAAACAAAAATATTTGTGAAACAATTAAAATTCCAATTTTTATTTAATTCTGCATTTTTTGTATTAACCCTCTGGCACGGCACTGTTTGGAGGCAGATGGTAACAGTTTGGTCTCGTGTGTTATTGGTCCTTGTATTTTTTAGCCATTGGTTTTATCCAACAATATGTGGCTGAACTATTTTTTAAATGACAAATTATGTTATTTAAAGTAAAATATAGGGTTTTTTCTTGAATATTATTTGATTTTTGTCCATTTAAACCTGATTTTTTTCAAAAAAGTTCTTGCTTTTATTGGTTTTATTACAAAAATAATATACAGTAAAAGTAATTAAGTATTTTAATTTACTTTTTACTAGTATGTTTTTATTAACATTAATTGAGAATAGTCTTACTTTTAGCGTCATATAGGATTTGTCCTTTTTATTTTAAAGTACACTGTATCAGTGATAACATTTTAATACTTACTATAGCGAGAAAGAGAGATGCTTACGTTCAATCTGAATGAATATTAATTCTCTGTAAAATCTCTTTATTTAGTTGAATTGTGACATGTTTATATTATCTAAACATTGTTTCTATAACCTGTGAGTGAAGTCTACGTCATTTCAGCTCTGGAAGCACACTGTGTTAGAAAGATTATTGTCTGTGGTATTGACTGTGGTAAAAGAAATCCTATTATGCTTTCATTGTATTGTAAAAACAATAGATTTATTAAAAGCTTTGGTCAATTATATAAAGCACAATCCTCGAACGACTTTTATATAGAGTGAGTTTATTTTTAGGTATTATGGATGAAGAATAATACTGTCAATTACATACATTTTAATTTGAAAGTTAATTGATCGGAGTTAATTTGAGGCAACAAAAGTGGTCCAATAAATTCTGAAGTCAACGAATAGTATAGTTTATTGTTTTTACAATATGCATGTGTAAAGTTGTTTTGCTAAATATTATTGGTTTATGATAAGGAAAAAGTAAATTTATGAATGTTGATGTTGTGAAGCTATATGGACATAAAAATAGATAATAGTATCAGTTCTATTGTCTGATTTTTATTGTGTTGTAATAGAGGAACGGTTAAAAGATATTCTGAGCCTATTGGTGTAGCACTTCGTATTTTAGAATGTCGTTTAATTTGAATTTTGGAAGAGTGTACAGAGTATCTCGCTTATTAGTAAATATAGAACCTTGCGGTTTTCACAAACAAAATCATTACAACCTGCTTTTTCATGATACAGTTGAATTTTTAAAATGTAATTATTACAGAAACCCCTTGTGTCGCAATTGTCTGACAGTTTATCAAAATAGAAAAAACGGATTCTAATAGAACTTTTTAAGCGGTATCTAGGGACAAATTTTTATTTTTTATTTGAAGTAATGAAAATGTTAAAGCAGCATATGGGATGTGTTTTAACAGATCAATAATTAGTCTTTAGCTATGTTTATAATGTTGAATACTACTAATTAAGACAACCTAATTAATTAAATCATAATTTCATATACACATATTTGAGCGGGCCGAAAAACGCTCTTTATCCTGGAAGTACACACTCGCCGAGGCTACCCGAGACGTGACAAAAAAGGACGGTCCTAACCAATAACAATGTACAAATCGTTAATTTTTTGTGGCGTCTCGGGTCGCCTCGCCGAGTGTGTACTTGCACCATTACCATCTTTTGACGGGAGATGCGCTAATATCTCACCGACACATTACGATATCGTCTATTGATATTGGAAAAGTTTTGCTTGCCGTATCGGTGAGAACCAGTCCCTGGACAGCCCACCTGATGAAGGGTAGTCCCAGAAACCGGTTGTGGGAGTGGAGCTTGGTTCCCCCCTTTACTACAACAAAACAATTTTCTTTTTACTTTTTTTTTTTTTTCTACTTACGATTTTTCGAAATTAGAAAAAATACACAGCTAAAGGCAAGAAAATATTATTTATTAATTAATTAAATCTACACTCAGCGGCACGAAAAACGGGCATCTTAAAATGTTGATTAATTTTAAAGGTTAATATATTTTGTTTTAGTGGGACGATTCTGAAGATTTTTTAAGGTAGTAAGTAGCTAAATTATTTGACTTTTTAGTATCTTTTTTAATTTAAAAATGAGTCCTTTAAAAAGTTTCCATCTGTCAATTATACCAGGAAAAACAAAATGTTGATATTTTGGTGAAAGTTTGAAACACCCTGTGGAAGATATTAAGCCAGCACGGAATTTAAGAATCATTTTACCATCTAGGAACACTCTTTCTCAATAGTTTGTTTTTTGGTTCATTTTAATAGCTCTATATTTATTGGATATATTCGCTTTTGAAGAAGACACTAACATTTTTTCGTAATTTTTACATCAAAATCATGCCTTTGCTTTTGGTCCTGGTCAACAAATCTAGTAAGTTGAGGTTCCGAAGCAGGCCTTCTTAACATATGATTTGCTTCGTTTAGTCTCCCAGGATCTTACAGTTATGTCCCAGAGGAAACCATTTTTATTACTGATATTTTGAGAAAAATGCATTCTTCATAAAAATTTTATTATTTGCTACAATAATTTACTTTTCCAAATTTCCATACCGTTTTAGAGAAAATTAAAAAAAAAAACATGAAAATATGGTTGATTTTTTTCCTAAAGCCCTTAAAATTAAAACGCGTTTCATAAAATTGCCAATATTCCAAAAAAGAAAATATTCAGAAAAAAAAACTAGTCTAGCCACTGGATTCCGTGTAAAAAGTTCTGTTACAATCCGTTTATACCTTTTTAAAAACTGCCCAACAACGGATATTATGAAGGGATCTGAGATTTTAACATTTTCAGAATTACCCTGTATCATGGAAGCTAAAGATGTTACGCAAAATTTTATTTACACACATCTTTGGGGTTACAAAAATGTAGCTTCCTGAAATCAGCAATATTCTATGTTAACTAATTGCGACATACCTGATACCTCTCAATCGCAACCAAACTGTAACATTCTGTATAGAAGACGATTTTTTGAACTTGAAAAAAAGGATTTGAATTAACACGTAAATCTTGCGTTTAGAATGAACTCGAAAAAAAAAATTAAAGGACCTTAGAATTACCATTAAAATATGCTACGAAATAACTTTTAGGCGACACTGTGTATTTATTTTTATACTGAAACAAAGCAAAATCTTTCTTTTATTTTTGGGAACAAAATTTTCATGTTCAATTTTATTTTGAAAAAATTTTTACTGTATGTATGTATGATCTCTTGGGTTATAAGTATATTTTCGCCTTTTGGCAATAAGGGTTATAAGTTTCATACTTCTTTAATTATATATGAACTATATTTAAGATGTCTGTAATCGCATATTTAAATATTTTTGTATTTAACGTAAACAAGTAATTTAACATTAATCAACAATATTAACCACTGTAATGACCCAATATTGTCTAAGTAATCTTTGAATGTAATGACTGTATTTAATTTTAATAATCGATATTGTGAATATGATACAGTGCAATATGGGGGCTTTTTAAACCAAATTTATCATTAGACAGAACGCGATAGTTTTCAATTACTGATAGCGACAATAATCTCTTAACGTAAAATCTAAAAATTTCATATTTTAGCCATTATATTGCACTGATATGTGGTATGTCAAAAATATATTTATCGATTTTGTCATTGTAAAATGAATATTGACATTGCTACATAATATTATATTACACAATTTTTTAGATTAATTTTTGTACTGTTTTTGTATTGATATTTAGAAAATATTTAATTTTTATTTGTGATAGTCTTTTGTGATAAATGTTTTCTTTTTTTTATATAAAATTGCATTAGACACTTAGAGACTGCGACTTTTTGGAAATTAAAAAATCCTTTTCTTAATTTGACCATCGTTAATCTTAAAAACTAATAATTATAGTTGGTTGAAAATAGTGTATGGTTAATTATTTGCCATATAAACAAGTGTGAGTTTAACCAAACTAGTAAACTATTGAATAATTTAGCTTCCTTTTTTAGTGTTTTAGCTTTAAAGGGATAGCATCACTCAATGCTCAGGGTGTCAGATGAATCGTTGCACTATATTGATCCCTATCTGTATGTACTATTTCCAATAAGACTTTTTTTTTCCTTATCGCCAATAAGAAACTTGTTAAAACAAAAACATGGTATTATTTCTACAGTTATTTTTTGGTCTAATTTAATTTGGGTATACAGGGTGTCTCAGGCTGAGCGTGCAATAGAAGTTTCTAGAAAACCACCGATCGGATATTTTTTGCACATCATTGTTTTACAACGAGATCTATCGATTAAAAATATTTTCAATATGGCGGCACTTCCAGAAGTACCGGAAGTTGACAGCAACTTTCTTGTTTTAAATGGGTACCACCATTTTTATTACATACTTAAATTCTCTGTAAAATTTTATGAATTTTGATATTACACACTGATATATAACATTAACCGTTTTTGAAAAAAAAAATATTTTAAATTTTAGAATGAAAAAAAACTGCCTGTCAAAGATATATGTATAAAAACTAAACGTCAAATTTAGTGATTACCATAAAATGGGGTGAATAGAAAAGCCGGAGTCTCATGCATCCGAAATCCGATGATACGACGATCCGACGGTGCTCCTATTGGTCGAAATATTTTGACACCAATTTTTATCCGATAATTTTAACTAATCGTCCGACGTCGTATAAAGTTAAATTTTGTTTAACTTTTGTACGATATCGTGTGTTTTTTAATCTCACTTTTTTTGATTAACAAGTTTTTAAAAACAAGTTTAGGGGGAAGTGGGCAATTTCGGGATATTTGGCGAGGAAGTTATTTTTATAAGTGTTTCTCCAATAAAACATGACATGAATCTCTATTCAGTACAGCAGAAAAATGTCAAAAGTGTCAAATTTCGGAACGAACTTTCGGATGTATGTGACAGGCCTTTTTTATTTCACAGGATAACTTC